AATATGACAATAAGAAACAGTAATAATAAAAAAAAACAAGAGTTTACAATTATACAATTACCTTCCTTTTGAGGTTGTCGAGTTTGTTGTTGATATAAGGCATGGTTATATACTGTTGGAAATGCTGCTGCAAAACAAAACAGTGTTGATTGATGTTATAAATCTATTGAATCTAGGAAAACCCATACCCAGCCGTATCCAGGTGTTGACTAGTCTCTTTCAACAGCCGCGACTTCCGGTATCGTCAAATTTCCTCCCCAAAAGTAAGGAATTTTGCACCTGGGTAAACAACCATTACTTTTGAGGAGGAAATTTGACGAGACCGGAAGTCGCGGCTGTTGAAAGAGACTAGGTGTTGACCACTACCATCAGAATGAAGCTTGTGATTGATTGAGACAACAAAACCAAAGAATTGTAGGATTATGTCAGACAATGCCTATTCCTCTACTGGACATCTTTGTTTTTTGCATTGCCTCACTCTCTTTGTTATTTTATCAAATCACAATCTTTGTTCTAACAGTAGTGGACAACTCATATCCACTGGGTAAGGCCTAGTCCACACAAGTTACACACTAATCCTTTTAAAATCTTCAAAAGATGATGTAGAAACACCAAGCATACATGGTGGACATGTGTGGACACTGCCTGTATCTGAATTAAAGTATTTGATGATACAAAATTTCTGGACTTAAATACCAAATTCAATTCAATTCAATTCAATTCAAACTGACCCAGGGATAAAAAAAAGAGGACCAGGGAAAATATATCGAAGAAATGGAGGAAATGAACAAAAATCAAACCACATGTGATGCCCTCACACTCAGGAATCAAACCACAACCACATAATTATATTAAAGTGCTTTCAACTGCCACCCTTAGTTAGCTTCCATTGGGTTCGCATTTTTTGTGTTTATAAATAGATTAGTACTCTACACAACTCATATTGGCCATTAGCAAGAAAATGTCCTTTTCCTACTGACAAGGAATTTTTCTTGAATTCAGGTGAAGGGAATCCCTTGATATTTGCCATCTGACCACCTCAAGGGCCCTTAGGCCTCGTCTCCATTCCTTTGTTTTCTATTGTTTTCAATTCACTTCAAGCTTACGTCGTAAGCATCTATWGCTAACACATATAATAGTTAACTAGAAAGCTTTTATTCAATGTTTTATTTTTATTTTTGGTCCAAAATATTCACCAGTAGTGYATCAGTTCAACAACAATAAAAGTTGAAGGTGTTTAAAACTGTCCAACTGCTGAATGATATAAACTCACCACTGTACTGTTGTATACCAGAATATGCCTGTGAAAGTGCATCCACAGAATTTCCAGCTAAACCATTCCCTAAACCACCAATATTAGTCATTCCTAAAGACGTTAGACCTGGGCTGCCTGTGCTTACATTCATCCCTATAAACAAACAATTTACAGTAAAGCATAGAAACATCATTTCACATGTGCACATACTGAACATCACAGGAACAATTATGGAATTCAATAGAAATAAGCGAAAGAAAGTGAGTTTGTAATGCTAATCTATGTACGGCACAACCATATAGCTGCCCCTAATAACCTTTAATCTTTAAATAAATTAATTGCCACTAGCGAGCTAATTCGGCAATGGAGCGACCAGCGGTATATAAACATAGTTAACTAGAAAGCTATTTTCAATGTTTTTTTTTTATTTTTGGTCCAAAATATTCACCAGTGGTGCATCAGGTATATATCAACTAAATAAACATTTAACATTTTGATTCAAATTTTAATTATAAATTCAACATTTACTGCCTGACCTGTCCCTTTTCCCATAATCTAACCCTACAACTAGAGCTTCAAGGGTAGAGGGATTACACTGCTATGATATTWTTTTTTCAAATAAAAGTATTTTGCATTTCAAATAAATGSAATCAGCTAAATTGGGATCCCTTATGGACTAAGGTGCTTTCTATTTGCATATTAGGGACCACTATACATTTGTTTGGAATACAGGGAATAGCAACAGACCTACATGTACCTGACACAAAGACACCTGTACAACCAGAAGTACCAATAAATTTCTCAGATAAATATGTAACATTGTTTGATTAATAGTGTGTTTTTGTTTTGTTTTGTTTTTGTTTTTTGAAAAAATATGACTTAAGTAAGTGTTGAATTCAAAAAGGAAATAAAATGAATGAATATTAACAAAATACAAAATTTGACTTGTGTTGGTGATAATGCACACTAAAGGCTGATTTACACGGCACGATTGTCTCGTGCGATTTGTAGTATACGACTTGAATCGCGAAGTGTAAATACACATCGTACCGTGTAAATCAGCCTTTACACTGCGCGATTCAAGTCGTATACTACAAATCGCACGAGACAATCGTGCCGTGTAAATCAGCCTTAAGTTGCATAGAAAAGATTCCAGCGAACAATGTGTGCAAAGGCTGTTATAGTAAAATAGCTCTAACCTAGTCCAGGAATTCCTTGCATTCCCTGTACACCAAGATTCATGGGTGATGTACTTGATACTGTGTTTGCTGTACTAGTCATGACACCACTTGACCCTGCTGCATTAGCCATGCTACTCTGTATACCAGCTGGAGTCTGTTGTTGTTGCTGTTGTTGTTGTGCCATGACTGTTGCYGCTACTAAAGCRCCCAAACTTCCTGGCTGCAGCACTAAACACAGTGAATATCATTATTGTTTGAATTCTAACAAAAACTCAGACTTTTTGAGGTTGAAACATTCAAAAGAGCATCTCTTATTCACATTTATAAATGTAATATCACATGCTACATCAATTTGTTCATTTAAAGTATTTCTGTATCACATGATATCTTA